CATTACGACCCCCCTCAAAGGGTCATTTTGAGAAAGAAGACCATGCTTTCCTGTGTTGTGAAAGCAAGAAGTTGAACCTTCTAACGAGCCTTGTATTCCCTAACCTTTGACCATGCAATACTTTGTCGCAATAAATACTTCATACTGATTTTATAAATCTGTTGGCATATAACGTAGTGAATAATAATTTTGCCAGTAGAATATCCTTTTTCACTTATATTTTCCACGCGGGGTGTACGATAGACTTACCTCCACGTGGTGCACCTGGGCAACGTTTACTCATACGGCAGAAAGTCTATTATTCGGCAGTTGATTTCAGACCACCATAGCAACACTGTATGTCTTAGTTAACCCCTTCCATTGTACCTTTTCTTTGCCTTTGTGTCTGTCTGTCTCTTTTACATCTTTGAATCACTCTTCTGTTATCTCTCTCGACTGTTTTCCACTTTTTCTGTTACTCCCCTTCATAAAGCCTGAAGTCAACTAAAGGGCTAATGAAGATTACCAAAACGCCTGCCATTTGATATAAATAAATAAATATTTTCCACATTATGCCCATTGGAAGGTGTTTTAGCAGATGGGAACATATTCACTTATCTTTACCCCATCAGGGCATTAATGAGGAGATGGGATTACTTATCACTCTAACTTGATGCAAGTCCTTAATTCTAATAACCGAATTTTTTAACCCTTTAACGCTCTTGGGACCGTACATTCCTCTTTCAAAATAAGCTCAATTGGTACTAGACTCAAAACAGAAGGCTCTATTGCCGTCTATAGCTTTCGCCCGATACATCACCAAAATTCATCACGTCGGTGGCATCAGTCCACTGAGTGACACGCGTGAGTACGGTTGGGTTCATTTTTCCAAACAATAATTCGGGCGTTAAATAGTTCAGCTTCATTCTTGTCATCTTCTGCCAAATATGCAATATATCCTTCAGATCCTCAGTGTCTGGCCGTATGAATGACACTATGAGACAATTTTATTTGAGGACAATCGACTTCCTCCAGTCGAAAGGCTTGACTTGTAGACCGCCCCCCCCCCTCCTCTCTCTCTCTCTGTAGTCTGATGAGTCCCGTGTACACCTTAGTAGCTTTCTAGTCATTTTAAGCTCACTAGATATAACGGAATTGGTATGCTATGATGTCTATGAAATGGGTATAGGTAAAATATTAAATAGATAAAAGGCTCTCTTAGTTAGTATAACTTATTTGGTGGCAATAAAATGCAGGCCATTATTTCAGTAGCAAATGTTAAGTGTTTATACCTCCCTCCACTCCACCTCTGAAGTGTGTGTAATCCTATACACACGCACCAACTTCCACACACACACACACACATACATACAATGTGAATGCTTAAAAACGGCGCCAAGAAGGAGTATGTAATGCATACATGTACATAAGGAGTGGTAGGGCCGGGAAGAGTAACGGGAATTTGGGAAGGGGTTATAGTTAGATTAATGTCTGAATTTAATATCGGATTCCAGGCGTATGCACGCACATGCGTAGCGCTACAACGACAACAATAGGAATTATATGACTATTCCAACATCCGCACATGTAAATATATGCTAATGTGAGAGAATTAGTAAGAGAGAGAGAGAGAGAGACGGAGAGTGAAGTGGTTGTTTTCTCTTAATAGAAAAAAATAAACAGGAAGAAGTGATTTAATTAGTAATCATAGAATAATGCAAATTTGAATAATACTTGTGCTCTACTTTGGTAATTGGTAAGTTAAAGGAGGAATTGTTCTGATTTTATTTTGGTTAGGGAGAAGTGTTCACATTGATTAAGTTGACGAATAGGCAGTAGTTTTAGATATTTATATCTCTTTAAATATAGTCTTTTTAAAGCAAATTCAAACAAGGGGCGTGCGATAGACTTACCTTCACTTGGGGCACCCTGGACAACGCATACGCATACGGCAAATAAGTCAATAAACTGGCAATTGACTTCTAACTACTATGATCCCACTGTATGCATATTACACCACTTCCAAAGTACCTTTGTTCTCTCTCTTTTACATCTCTGAATCACTCTTCTGTTTCCCCTCTCGACTTTTTGTGATTTGATATTGCTCCCCTCTGTGATGCCCGAAGTCAACTTAAGGGGCTAATATTTATATCAAATGGCAGGCTTTATGATAGTTATCATTAGCCCTTTAGTTGACTTCAGGCTTCAGAGAGGGAGAGGAACATCAAATCGAAAAATTTTGAGAGGGTGGGGGGACAGAAGAGTGTTTTAAAGATGTAAAAGAGACAGACACAAAGGTAGATGAAAGGTGAGGTGAGTACTGTGGAAGTGGCCGAATATGACATACCGTGGGGTCATGATAGCTTGAACTCAGAAGTCAACTGCCAGTTAATAGACTTGTTTGCCGCATGAGTATACATTGCCCCGGGCGCACCACGTGGAGGTAAGTCTATCGCACACCCCACTTAAGGGGGTTATGATAATTACCATAAAATCTGCTATTTAATATAAATAAATACATTCCCAAAATACAGCTCTGTTGCTTAAGATAAGTTAACTAATTCACCTCTACTGTCTAAAGAACAAGTAATCTAGTATGTCACACATCATACAATGGCACCTTCTCAAAGGCTGTATGAGAAAAATGATGAATTAAAGTGGGGATACCGACCTTCTTAACTAAAAAATAATGACAACTAGATAAGGAGAATCGTTGGTTATCATCCTTTACAGTTCTGTGCACGAATATTAAAATTAGATTTTTGAACAGTGGCCAACTCACTAGACGAATAGTATATAATACAAATCCTTTCCTTGTAAACAACCCTGAAGGGTCATAACTTTTAAACATGATCCGCACAGCAGATTGTTTACTTCATATCTCCAGCTACACTCACATTATATATCTTCAACACGACATAATTGCAAAATACTGATTTGGAATAATTTTACATATAGCAATTAGAAGTGCAAGTAATTAAAGAGGACAAATTCTTGGCAAATATAGTTCCTTATCTCAATAACGAAAAACGACATAACCACAACCATAATCTTTATTGCCGATTGACGCGAATGATGTGAAGATAAAAAGGCTTTGTAATTTCCAGAGTATGCCATTATCCATTTGAGTGCTATTGAGGCTGAATACAATTTAAATTGTGTTTTCTTTTGGCGTATTCCTGTATATTAGTTGGATTAATTCAACCTTTTGATAATGTTATTCCCTCGGGAAAGGAAGATATTTATGGCCAAATCTGGACTTTGTAGGAGCGAAATAAATTTCTATTGTCTTTAATACAAATATATTTATAGCCTTCTGTAAATAAAAAAGGATGGAATTCCGCTATTCTTATAGCGCCATTTTAAAAGGGAATTTATAACTGTAAGAATGTTAGAAGTGGGAATTAACAAAGACAATTGGATTTCGCTTTTCTTTGTGATAGTGAATACAATTTCAGTCCATCTGAAAGACACTACTGATGTAATGGAAATATTTTCCTCAGTTGTATAGCACTATCCATTCTTGGAAATTTTCAGAAGCCTATAAGTTGATCTTTGGAAAGGCAAAAAGCGTACTTTGGTCAAGAGCAATTGCGTAACTTGGATAAGGTTTAGAACTGTGATTTTATATGAGACTTTTCTTAAAAGAGGTACCAAAATTCTTAAAATATTTCTACATCGAATGGTGATGGGCTTCATGATAGTTCTCATTAGCCCTAAAGTTGACTTCGGGCTTCACAGGGGGAAGGAACATCAAAGTGAAAAAAGTCAAGAGGGGGGGGGGAACAGAAGAGTTTTTCAAAGATGTAAAGGAGAAGTACAAAGGTAGGGTAAAAGGTAAGGTGAGAACTGTGGAATTGGTGGAATATGACATACGGTGGGGTCATAGTAGTTTGAAGTCAGAAGTCATCTGTCGGTTTATAGACTTTTTTGTCGTATGAGCATACGTTGCCCAGGGTGCACCACGTGGAGATAAGTCTATCGCACACCCAAAATTTGATAAGTATTTTGAGCTAGCAGAATTTGCATAGATCTAAGGCACAACACTCAAGCGTTGCCCATTCGGTAAGTCGCAGGTTCGATAATAATCTACGCGCATTCAAGCAGGCATATCTCTAACTCTATTGGTTATGTAGGTCAATGAAATGCCAATAGCGACGGTGGAATTAATTGAAACATTCACTGAACCAAAATGACCGACGTTCTGATTTAGATTTGTGAAGAGGAGAGTACCGATTAGCTACTTTCTCATCAGACGCGATTTTGAATGTTCAAGATGATAACTGGATGGAATTGGGGCTTCAAAAACCTTATGGTTATATGATTTAGGTTTGGTGTATAAAGATAATGCTATAACCAATGATCGATTTTCTAAAATTATATCATAAATAGTTGCCAAGGTGACCTTGGAAAGCAATAAAAAAATAGGGAAGAGGCTTTATAATGTCGTCTATTCCATCTTGATCATACATAATTGAACAAGAAGAACCAGGTGTTAAGAAAACTGTCAGAATATAAATTTTCTAAGGCGCGTGGTTTTTAACCAAAGCATTACTTCTTTCGGACTCATATTCAGCAATAAATTCTATTGAAAACAGAGAACCACACAAAACAAATGAGATATACGAATGTATAACACCGTATGAGTTACTGAGGAAAAAAACAAAATGGGTAGTTCTTCAATGGATCCCTGGAAATTGTGGCATCATAGGTAATGAGCGCTGACACTTGCTAAGAAGGGTACTAAAATTTTGTAATGCATAGACCGGCCGATGTTTTTCCACACACTGAAGACCTTAATTAGAAGAAAATTCAAGACTTCAAGGTGCAACGAACTTAAAGCTCGAACAAAGGAGAAACAGTGGACAGTGGCACTCTCCGACATAGCCGACTGACCAAGAATCGAAGCCATTGCTGAGTTTAGACTACGTACCTGACACGGTTACCAAGAATCGAAGCCGTTGCTGAGTTTAGACTATACTGGCCAAGAATCGAAGCCGTTGCTGAGTTTAGACTACGTTGGCCAAGAATCGAAGCCGTTGCTGAGTTTAGACTACGTACCGGACGGATTGCCTGGCAAAACACCTTCAAAGATTGGGAGTATACAGTCAAGGTGCAACGAACTTAAAGCTCGAACAAAGGAGAACACTCTCCGACATAGCCGACTGGAAGAGAATTCAAGACCTCAAGGTGCAACGAACTCAAAGCTCGAACAAGGGAGAAATAGTGGACAGTGGCACTCTCCGAAATAGCCGACTGGCTAAGAATCGAAACCGACTGGCCAGGAATCGAAGCCGTTGCTAGAAGCTCGAACAAAGGAGAAACAGTGGACAGTGGCACTCTCAACATACCCGACTGGCCAAGAATCGAAGCCGTTGCTGAGTCTTACCTCGAAGAAAGGAGAAACAGTGGACAGTGGCACTCTTCGAGATACCCGACTAGCCAAGAATCGAAGCCATTGCTGAGTTTAGACTACGTACCGACGGATTGCCTGGCAAAACACCTTCAAAGATTGGGAGTATACAGTCAAGGTGCAACGAACTTAAAGCTCGAACAAAGGAGAAGGCAACGAAATTAAAGCTCGAACAAAGGAGAAACATCACATAGCCGACTGGCCAAGAATCGAAAAGCTGTTGCTGAGTTTAGACTACGTTGGCCAAGAATCGAAGCCGTTGCTGAGTTTAGACTACGTACCGGACGGATTGCCTGGCAAAACACCTTCAAAGATTGGGAGTATACAGTCAAGGTGCAACGAACTTAAAGCTCGAACAAAGGAGAACACTCTCCGACATAGCCGACTGGCGAACAAAGAGAATTCAAGACCTCAAGGTGCAACGAACTCAAAGCTCGACAAAGGAGAAACAGTGGACAGTGGCAATCTCCGACATACCCATGGCCAAGAATGGAATCTGTTGCTGAGTTTAGACTACGTAGTTGGCCAAGAATCGAAGCCGTTGCTGAGTTTAGACTACGTACTAGAGAAACAGTGGACAGTGGCACTCTCCGACATACCCGACTAGCCAAGAATCGAAGCCATTGCTGAGTTTAGACTACGTACCTGACACGGTTACCAAGAATCGAAGCCGTTGCTGAGTTTAGACTATACTGGCCAAGAATCGAAGCCGTTGCTGAGTTTAGACTACGTTGGCCAAGAATCGAAGCTGTTGCTGAGTTTAGACTACGTACCGGACATGATTAACTGGCGAAGCACCTTCACAGAATAAGAGTATATGCTCAGCCAACATGCCCCCTAAGTGATCTACAGGAGGAAATGGAGAAGACCCACCTGATTCGTGTCCAGCCCTAAAGACAACAACGAAGAACCGAGAGATACTGGGAAGCTAAAAGTCAACTAATAAACTACTTTTAACTGTCCTAAAGCCTAAATATATGCCTCCCCCATTGTGAAATCCGAAGTCAACTAAGGGACTACTGATAAATATCATAAAGCCTACCATTTGAAACAATAAAATTTGTTAAGATATTCGCCGACTCCAATTCAGATCCCATAGAAAATGGGTTAAACAAATATGAAAGCAGTGAATTTATTGTTCGCCTTCGCGATAACACATTCTCTCAGATTATCGCCAAGTCGCCCATCGCCTTTACCCATAGGTCGGTGCACCCACACCTGACGTCTTGACAACTATTTGGGAGAAAAGGCGTTATCAGTTCGGTTGCGTTTTATTCTCCAAACGTCAAAATGGCCTTTACTTAAAAATAATTGGGTCCTGGGGAAACGCACTTTGCCTTCTCTCTCCAGGTCTTTGTCAACTGCAGTCTGGCGACAACTAGTGGCACAGAGGTGATAGTGAAGGGGCGAGTAACAATCTTCTTAAGCATTTTAGAATTCAGTTGTAGACAATTTAATGGATAACTAGCCATGGGATATATACTTCTTATTTACTTCCTTAGCGAGCACTAACTTGATTAAAAAATTGGCCGGATATTTTACGATTTTAATTGAAATGTACATTGTATGCATTATAGAAATTTGAAACTTCACATAAAATTGAACAGACTGCTATTCCGTTGGCAGTAATTTCTCCAGTGTGGGAAAACAGCGTAGAAACCATGATATATGTGTCAAATTTAAATGAAGGGGGTGGGGAATTAAACACAAATGCAAATAGTAAAACGACGTATTTTCACCTTTTGTTCAACGAATGAGATTTATTGAGCTGTCAGACTACATAGCCATTGTTTTGATCGATAGGATCAATATGTCTAAACAATCAGTTGACGTATATCAGCCAAGAGAGATTATAGTTTTTTGGGTCACTCCAAGACGTAATCAAGATTGCCAATTGAAATATCATTTGAATTTAGAGTTGAACGATAGTAACCTCATCCTAACATGCACCCAAGATATAAGAGATGAATGACCAACTACCTGTGAAAATTGCTGATCTCAAAACACCAGATGAAATCTGCTGCATAGACCAACACCCTTGCAAAATTGAAGATCGGATGACAAAAACCGTTAGTTTCAGATTAACATTTCCTCTTCCTGAACTAAATTGTGGCAAACAATTGTTGTTACCGAATACATCACTTCGTTCCTGAAAATCCTCATCGACTGTACCTTTGTCGAACAGTCTCCTATGAACATTTTCGATTATAAATATTATGATTAGAGAAAGCTTTTCCCCATTTCAAGTCGAAAACGCGAAATTGTAGTGATGTCATCACCAAATTAAAACAATTATTAGTTTTTAAATGCATCCTTTTTGATTTTCAACTTTACATGGACTAAATGCTTCACCACATTGATTGAACGTTCTGGGAAGTTTGAAGAACGAAATCCTTGCGAATAAAGAGGGTTCAGTCGAAATTGGTACCAAGCCGAAATCTTCGTTTCAAAATGGAAAAGCCAAACTGAAAGTTCCTCTTTCTTTTTCTAAATTTGATATTAGAGGTAATCCACTCTTTGATTGAATCGTTAGTTGGATATTACCTTTGGTTCACATAGGCTATATACTAAATGAATGTCTGGCAAGAGACATTTCCTCTCAATAAATCATAATAATGGAATTTTAGATGTAAACCTAGGTCATTGGAGCCAAAATTTTGATCTGAATTGGTATACTTTCATGGATACATCTCTCTTAAACCATTGTTTAGCCAGTATGCACGCGCTTTACATGGCACAAAATTGACCAAACAGTAACGTAAGTAATTAGCATTATAACTTCAGCTATCTTTGTCATTCCACATACTTATAGCATGACCTTGAGCGAAGGTCCAATAAGACAATGGAAGTTTGCAATTATACCAACTTGGAGCATTATGCTTATATACAAATCCAATTATGTATACGTTAAGAATGTAAGGTACGAGACTAAACGGTTGCCTTCTAAATAAGTGACTATTTTAAAAGCAATTATTAGACTAACGCTTATTATCTTCGTTCTTTGTAATTCTTCTCTTTCTAACTGTGGATCAACTTGAAACAATTTTGCCCTTCTTTTCTCTTTAAAGGGCTAAATTAGAGGAGAAGTTGGTTTCAAATTCCATGCCCGATTAAATTGAGGAAATAAATCAGGAATAGGAATATGGTTAGTAAAATAGCCGTTTGCAAAATTAAGCATTAAGTAATTTAATTTTGGGAACAAAAGGTTTATGAAATTTGACGCAAGATTAATTTTATGCAATCTTTTTCACTCAAATCGCCACTGAAATAGGTATGAACGATTTATGAGGCAAAAATAAACCAGTCGATAACTGAATCGGTTGGAATTAAAATGAGAAGCTCTATTATTTAGAAAAATGTCATGACTGCTTTGTCTATTCGCTCAGTGGCGTTTAAAGCAAAGCGCATAAACCAAGGGTGGATGACTGTTCAATTGACCAAATTGGTCTTCAAGCTTTGCATATCGTGGCAAGATCACACCACAAAGCTCAGGGGTCATTTCACGATAATCCATCAAGTTTGGAAGGTGGGGTGTGAGATAGACTTACCTCTACGTGGTGCACCCTGGGCAACGTATACTCATACGGCAAAAAGTCTATTAACTGGCAGTTGACCTCTGACTTCAAACTACTATGACCTCCCTGAGTGTCATATTGCACCACTTCCACAGTACTCACCTCACCTTATCTCTACTTTTGCGTCTCTCTGTCTCTTTTACATCTTTGAATCACTCTTCTGTTCCCCCTCCCGAATTCTTCTCACTTTGATGTTCCTCCCCTCTGTGAAGCTCGAAGTCAGCTAAAAGCTAATGATGACTATCAAAACGCCTGCCATTTGAAATAAATAAATAAATCATTGGGATATTGGAGAAAGGGGATAAAT